AAAACACCATCCATACAGTGCAATTACAAAAAGCTGAAAGAGAAAGCACATAGTTCTTTCTTCTCTCTTTTAACACATCAGCACTGTTTCCCTCAGTCACCACACAAACATCAGATATCCTTCTGTATTTCATGGGAGTATTCAAGATTGGCGGATGGGTATCCTTTTCAGAAAGAACCTCCAACTATCCTGATCCCACCCCACCATCACCAAAACCAGCAAAGAACAAGCCAAGAGCATCTCTCATGATTACAGAGCAACAGAGTTGGACCCATATTCGCTCCATTTGCAGCCCTCCACTATGGTGCAATTACAAAAAAATCTCAAAAGCACACTGCAGAAATACTCTGGTTTGACACTACTTTAATGGTCATGGATCAATGCTATGGAATTCTGGGAATGGTAGTTTGTTGTGGCACCAGAGCTCAGTCACCACACAAACATCAGATATCCTTCTGTATTACTTGGGAGTATTCAAGCCTGCTGGATGGGCATCCTTCCAAAGCAGAGGTAGGCAACCTTTCCCCTTTAAGGGCTGAGGGACTTCAGCTCCCAGAAGCCTCAGCCATGTTGGCCAATAGTCCCATGTTGGCCAATAGTTCCTGGGATTCTGGGAGCTGAAGTCCCTCGGCCCTTAAAGGGGAAAGGTTGCCTACACCTGTTCCAAAGCATAGCCCTATAGACTTCTGGTGACACAACAAACTACCACTCCCAGAATTCCATAACACTGAGCCATGGCCATTACTGGTGTCAAACCAGAGTATTTCTGCACTGCGGATGCAGCCTATATTATATTTATCTGAGGAAGTAAGCTCAAGTCTACCAAAGCTCATGCTATCAGCTTCTTTTGTTCAGTCAGTCTCAAAGGGGCTACAAGATCCCTTGGCATACTACATTGTATCCCTGTTATTCAGAGGTAACTGTTTCAAAGCTTCCCAAGCCCAGGAGCTTCATCTCCATCCCCACACATTGCTGCTGCCAGGAAAAACAGGAGCAAAGACTGGAAACCCTGATTCTACTCAGGACGTTCATCCCCACTGAAAAGGAAAGGAGTCAGAAGACAAAACATCCGGGTGTCCATGGAGTGATGCTCTTATTTTGCACCACACACCACAGCAAGATTTTTGTCAAATAATTGGGGGGGGGGGAGAGAGAGAGAAAGAGAGAGAAAGATGAAGCTTACTGGGCATTACTCTGGTATTCAGGGAAAGATAATCTCAACTGGTCCCCCATGCAGGCGTTTTCCCACACACTTCTGTGAATGACATATTTTCCTAATGCACTTGTTGAGGGGAAGGCAGCTCCTCTCTCCTGGGGCTCCTTCTGCAAGGGATCAGGGTGACCAGATGCCCTCAACCCAAAGGAAGACCAGGCCCCACAAAGTGGAGGACCTTTGAGGAAAATGGAAGACATGGCCATAGGAAAAAAGCTCAGAAACATTCTTGTGCAAATACAAATTCATGCTTCTTAGCCATGCCCAAAATGGGAGGCATTTTGAAATCCTCCTGGACAGAAGGCTGGAATAGAGACTAGGTCCAGGAAAAGGAGGACGCTAGTCACCCTGGAAGGGATGGAGCCCAAATCCTCCGTTGTCCACTTTTTGTCCGCTACACACAAACACACACAAAAAATACCTCACGGTTCCTATATAACCCCTTTCTCCTGGTGGTCACCACCCATCCATTCACCCCTACCCTTCCTACAACCCCAGCACCCTCATTCCTCTCAGAGACACAACACACACATACTCACACACAGAGAGACACCTCTCTTTGGCTACCAAGAAGCCCAGGAGGTCACACCCTTCCCCAGCCACCAGACCCCTCTCCAAGCAGCCCCCTTGTTGCTCCTCAT